AAAATCTTCCTTGCCACAGTTGTTAAGTGAATCACTATAGTGTTGAGTTTGTAACACCGTTGTTAAGTGAATCTGGCTTCCCCACTGTCTTTGCTTTCCAGAAGGTCGCAAAAGGGGGTCACATGACCCCGGGACACTGCAACCGTCATAAATACATGTCAGTTGCCAAGTGTCCTAATTTTGATCACATGACCACAGGAGATGCTGCAAGGATCGTAAGTGTGGAACATGGTTGTAAGTCATTTTTTTCAGAGCCATTGTAACAGTCACTAAACAAATGGTCACAAGTCAAGGACTACCTGTATTCTGTTCTCTCATTCTTCACCAGAGATTGGCATTCAAAAACTATGAGGTCTGGCAACCTCATGCACGTGGCTACTAATTTGGACCTTCTTCTTCTTCTTGTGCCGTATCCGTCATCGGAAGTTGGCGATCATGTTGGCGATCCTATTTTTATCAACAGCCGCACGAAAAAGTCCTGCTGAGTTTTGTCTAAACTCGCTTAACAAATGTCTCGCTTAGCAACAGAAATTTATTTATTCATTTATTTTATTTTTCTTATACTTATATGCCGCCCTTTTCCCAAAGGACTCGGGGCGGTTCACAGGAATTAAAACGATGAAAACAATACAAATAGCTACTAAAATAATCAATTAAAATCTCCCAATTAAAAATTTTGGGCTCAATTGTGGTCGTAAGCTGGGGACTACCTATATTTCTGCATTTCTCTAAAATCCTTTTCCAAACCAATTTACTGGCCCATCCTTTGGTAGGACATTCCATAGCCAGCTGCTTTATTATTATTATTATTATTATTATTATTATTATTATTATTATTATTAGCTCATCTGTTCTGAATTTTCCACTCTTAAATTTTTCTTCTGCTCTGCTTGTCCACCTCACTCGGGCATAACTTTGGGAACTTCTTCTTTACTTGCGCTTCATTATTTTTAAATCACAAACCTTCTGCGGCCTGACGCTAATTACCACTTGCGGAAAGAACCCAAGTCCCACGGGAAAAGGGCATATTAAATGCTGCTGCTGTCTTTTCCATGGGAGTGGGAAAACACGGCTATAAAATGTCACCTTTCAAGTTTTTGTGGCAGTCCCAACCCGGGTGAACTTAATCACAATTCTAGTATTGCCAAAAAGAAAAAGAAAAGAATTTAACCCCCTGGTACCAAGACATTTGTTTTCCCCAAAAAATAATTTCTTAGAATTTAAAGAGGCTGCTGCAAAATTCCCTCTTCCAATTTTATCCCCCAAACAACGCGATGACATTGCTTGGAATGCAGAGATGTATTGGGCCCAAAATCATCTAGTGAGTCCTAATCCACTGGTTAATTGTTGTCACTGTTAGGAATTTTCTCCTTCATTCCAGGAGCAGGGAATGGATTAGATGATCTCCAAGGTCCCTTCCAGCTCTAATTTAAATTGAATTGAATTCATCTGAGAACCTGTTCACCACAGCCTTAATTTCAGTGATGCATAGTTAAGAGCAGGGTGGATAAAAATCAATGATTTTTTTTTAAAAAAATAAAAAAAACAGATTTTTTTGATTTAAATCGGATTTTTTTTATTTTTATCGAATTTATTTTAATAAAAACTTTTGGGGTAAAAATCTATCGTAAGATAGTTTTCTATTTAAGATACATAAATAATTTAGTTTATTCAGCATGAAATGGAGCTTAGTTATGTAGCATAAGGCTGTATATTCTGCAACACTGGGACTATCGGTGAGTCAACAGTGGGTCAAAGGAGTAGCAGAGATGACAGTGGCTCTTTAAAAATTATGATTTAAATCGAGTTGATTTAAATCAAGCCTTTTTACTAGTGATTTAAATCATGATTAAAATTGTGATTAAAATCAACTCAATTTAAATCAAATCCACCCCGGTTAAGAGTGCCCATTTAAGAGCAATGCAAAACGAAATGCGTATGAACTCAGCAACAATTATTTTTTTAAAAAATTCATCCCTTCCCAACTCACACCCCAAAAACTGTCCAGGCAAATAGGAAGCTTGTTAAAAGGATATTCAACCTAGAACTAAGGAGATAGTGAGAACAATTAACCAATGGAATAGAAGTTGCCTTCAGAAGTTGGTGGGTGCTCCTTCACTGAAGGTTTTTAAGAAGAGACTGGACTGCCATCTGTCAGAAATGGTGTAGGGTCTCCTGCTTATTTTTATTAATTTTTATTAGTCATATTTCTATGCCACCCACTCTCCAAGGACTCTGGGCGGCTTACACCAAAGACAGTATACTAAATAGCATATTGCCGCCTAACAATCTGGGTCCTCATTTTACCCACCTCGGAAGGATGAAAGGCTGAGTCAACCTTGAGCCGGTGAGATTTGATCCGCTGATCTGCTGAACTAGCAGTCAGCTGAAGTAGCTGCAGTACTGCACCTTAACCACTGCGCCACCTCGGCTCTTAAGTGGGGGGGTTGGACTAGAAGACCTCCAAGGTCCCTTCCAACTCTATTATTCTGTAATTCTAAATTTCTTGGGGAAATAAAGATGAGGAGTCCTATTTTCCTCCATCTCAGCGGGGCTCTCTGCTTTCCATCTCCTTCCTCTCCCCTAGCCTCCAACTCACATTTCTGACCTGATTTTTCAGTAGAGGTAGTCCTCGACTTTGGACAATTGTGCCCTAGATTTGCGTTGCTAAGCAAGTTGTTCAGGGAGTTTTGCCCCGTTCTATGACCTTTCTTGCCACAGTTGTTAAGTGACTTGCTGTAGCTGTTAAGTTAGTAACGTGTTTGTTAATCTGGCTCCCCCACTGATTTTGCTCTTCAGAAGGTCGCAAAAGGGGGGATCACATGACCCCGGCATGCTGCAACCGTCATAAATATGAGTCGGTTGCCAAGCATCTGAATTTTGATCACGTGCACCATGGGGATGCTGCAACAGTCATGTGAGAAATGGCCACAAATTATTTTTTCCAGTGCCGTTGTAACTTTGGTCACTAAACAAAAAAAAAAAGACTACCTTCTGGGTACCTCCCATTCAAATCCAACCTTCTGGGATGCTTCCTTCCTCCATCTCCTGGCAGAAGAATCTGGGTTTGTCAATCTGGGTTTGTCACTGGACACTGCCGCAGGGCTGCATCCTTTAGAAGCTCTTTCAAAACAACACCCACATGGAATTTACCAGTTCAACGGCTTCTTAACCCTATCTAGGTCAGTACTAAATAGGAACAAGACATTCTGTCCCAGATATGGAACCTTCTTCCTCTGGAACACATGGAATTTGCTACTATTTACAAGTTCCAGCAACAGCAACATTTCCAGATTTCACATTAATGTTGTGGCCCGGCGGCGGACAGCAGAGCCGGACAGTGAGGAGGTTGGGGAGCAACCTGGGACAGTCCTGGGGGCTGGGGAAAGCTCGGACGAGGGCTTTGCATCAGAGGCAGAGGGGGAGCTAGACAGCAGTGAGGCAGAGGAACAGCTGGAGCCCGTTCCCAGTGTGTGCATGCGCAGAGCTGCCAGAAGACAAGAATAACTCAGAAAGCAGGGTCGACTTGGGAGTAAAGCCACACCTTGGAGGTAATTGGCCCCTCCCATAGGAAATAAAAGAGGACCGAACAGGGAGTGGGCTTTTGCAGGAAACAATTCGATCGGTCGGTCGTTCCGTGACTTTGAAAGACTCTGTGCCAAGTTTTGCCTTGTACTGCGTTTGGAAACAAGTTACATGGCAGCTTGCCAAGCGAGATAAGGTCTGTGTTTATAAATATACCTTTGAAGAACTGTTTGGACAGGCCTTGCTGACTGTGAATGAAAGTAATTCACAGTCGTGTAAATAAAAGAGGTTTTGCAGGGCCAAGACTCTGCTTCCTACTTTTTAAGGGAGCCTAGGTCAGAACAATTAAAATTCTTTTCCAACCTTTTTTGAGAGATATAGAGAACCAAAACTAGAAACATCTACACTCAGAAGGAGATATTCAACAATCTTTCAGAGTGTTCTTCTCCTCCTCCTTCTTGGACATAAAACAACCTTCTGAAATTCTCCATCTGTCACCAAAGAAACTGGTGTGGATTACGTTTCTGCATTTTTCCAAGGGAAGGGAATCCATCCAAGGACTTTTTGAGGGCCAGAAGAACCAAGTTTCCTTGGGATTTAATAAGAAAATATGGATGGTGGAAGTGGTTGGAGGGAAGGCTTATATGGTGAAAATATGTATCTAGTACTAAATACGACTTCAGCAACAGAGTGGTCAACGCATGGAATGCTCTACCCGACTTCATTGTTACAGCCTCAAACTGTCACAACCTCAAACTGTCTATCGTGGACCTCACCCCATTCTTAAGAGGTCCATAAAGGGGACATACATAAGCGTACCAGCGTGCCACCATCCCTGTCTTACTGTCCCCATTTATCTGCATTTACTTCCTTTGTTCGTGTTTATGTTCATAGCTATACTTGTTATCTTGTACATGTTTGACAAACAAATGAAATAAATAAAATAAAATAAATAAGTCAGGGATTCCCAACCTTTTCTATATCCCACACCCCTAGAACGCTTCTGATATATCCTCGCGCCCCTTACAAAAATAAATAATTATATTCATATACACTATAATTTTGAAACTTTTAAACTCAAGTTCTCACACCCCGTGGAATATCGTCTCACACACACACCCCAGGGGGTGTGAGCACCCCAGTTGGGAACCCCTGAAATAAGTGAAAAAATACTTTACTCATTTATTTTTGAAAGAGTTCTATTGTGAAAGAGATTCTAAAGTTAATTTTCTTTTTTAAATGTTCAGTGATACCTTGTAGGAAAAAAAAATACTTGCTCAGCGCTATTAAAAGCCTCAAAGATGCAAGAGTTTTACCCACAAACCTTGTGCGTATAAAATACATGTGAGTTTTCTATCCAGAGACCACTAAATACAGAATACAAACACTTGAATTTAGGATGCAGTGCTTCATCATTGTTGCTGGCTCTCTGAAATCAAAACCAAAGAACAAGCTAAACATTTTAATGCACTCACTTCTTCAGGCCTGCTCAGAACGTGCCCTTCAGGGCCAGTGATCCCCAGTTCCAAGATCCTTTGCTGCTCCTAAGGAATAGGAAAAAGGGCACAGATCAAACTTATTTTACTAGCGGAAGTCAGATTTCCCAAGAATTCTGAATTAGGTCCTCTAGCTCTGCTCTAGCAGAAGGTCTTCTATCAACCTGGCCAATTTCTAGGCAAGGTTCATATAACATGCTGAAACCCTAGATGACAGACTACAATTGCTGTATTTTCCACTCCAAACGAGGAAACCATAAACATGGTTTAATGGGATTTAATTTAATTTAATTAATCATATTTCTATGCCACCCAACTCCTAAGGGATGGTCTCAGGGGTGAAATGCTACCGGTTTGCTCCGTGTGCCGTGTGATCGTCGGAAACTTTTTAAAAACTTTTTTAAAGCATGTTTTTACTACCTATTCACTGAAACCGGTAGTAAGAAAATGCTTTAAAATAGTTTTTTTTAAAAAAAGTTCTCACAATCGCACAGCACAGCTGTGATCGTCGGATCCTTTTTTTTTTTTAACTTTTTTAAAGCATTTTTTAACTACCTATTCACCTGAACCGGTAGTAAAAAAATGCTTTTAAAAAGTTTTTTTAAAAAAAAAAAAGTTGACCATGCCCACCCAAGTCACATGACCCAAACCTACCAAGCCACGCCCACCGAATCGGTAGCAACAAATTTTACATTTCACCACTGGATGGTCTTGTCCAGACAAATGCAAAGATGATGGGGGCTCTTAACAATATTCTGAATCACAAACCCTCTTTTTAACCTATACAAGATGTTCTCCAGTTGGGACTTTCTTACTGGGATTAAAAAGTGTAAGCATTTCATGTTTGTATTCTTGCATCAGCCCTGTGTGCTCTCTCATGTTTGATATCATTTATTTCTCGCTAGTCCAGCTGTGTTCTCTGCCATTTCTCACTAAGTTTACAATGTATTGTAATATTCGTTTAAAGTCAGTTTACTTTTAATTGCACACGAGACAACTGGCAACTGTTGGCTCATTGTCTCAGAGATATTTCCTTACCTAAAGACCGAACCAGAATGACCACAGGCAGGCAAAAAAGCAGCAGGAGGGGAGTGGCTTCTGGCTTTCTGTCGGCTTCCCCACTGACTTTCCTTGTAGGAAGCTGGCAGGGAGCTCTGGAAATGACAGCCACGTGACTGCAGCTGACCACGGCAACGTGGCAGTGTGGCAGCCCTGAAGCAGCCATGGCTTTGCCAAATTTCAATCGCACGTGTGAGTCATAGATCCTGGATTTCAGAGGCATTTTGTAACTTAGCTCATGTGAGGCGTGTTGATTCAAAAAAATGTTGCTCTGCAATGCACTGTTTTGCATTGCAAACAATCAAGCAGGCACGAAGAGTATTAATAGCATATACATTTCCCCTGCTATTTGGACTGTTTTAATGTAATTCTCACAATAGATCCATTTCTGCAAGCAAGTTTCTCTGATGAAGTACATTCTGGGCAATTTTCTCCTTCTAATGCACCAATTTTTTTAACATCTTTTGCAAACTGTATGGCCAAATTCTGAATCCCATGTGTAGCAAGTCCCTTTGGAAACGCTACTAACAGCAATTGCAAACAGGAGTTACCTCTGCTATGATGTCTCCGTTCTCAGCATGGACTTGAGCTATCGCACCAATGTCTCGGATTACGCTCAGGACCTCATAAATCTGTTGAAAAAAAGAGAAAACATGCATTTTCCTGAACTACTTCCCTATCTATTCCATGTTACTTTAAGAGCTCAGATTCCTACTCTCAAAGTTCAAAGTCTTTTAAAAGTCAATGAACTCAATTCTATGTTTATTTGGACAATGTCCAGGGATTTTCAGACTTAGGGCAAAAATTCCTTATGACTAAAATAAATGAGATGCTGTCTAGCTCTACATGATTTTTTTCCCCAATTGTTATCAGCCATAAAAATGCTACTTAAATTTGTTGTTGTCTGTATAAATCATTTTTCCCATGATTTACATTCTGACAATCTTCTTCAACACCAACATCAAAGACTTTTTGCAAACTCATTCAACAATCTTATCCTGGACAAATCAGTATTGAGCAATATCAAAACTCTAAAAAGGCAATGCCCAGTGTGGATATTTTCAATTATACTATAGTTCTTCCACAGACTGGCAAGATATCATTCCAATATTATGTAAAATATTGTTAGATAAGAATGTAGTAGGTTAAGCTGGAAAGAAAATGTTCTCCCAAGGTTGGACATCAAGTACCAAAGGCAAGGGAGGATTTGAAACTATAGTCTTGATACAATCAGGTCAGCAGTAAAGGCTCTAGGCTAATAGCTAATTAAATTAAAAGCATAACTCAACCTTGCTAAAATGGCTCAAAGGTCATCTTGTTTCATACACATGCCTACAAGCAAAAGAATCTGGAAAACTCTGGTTAATGATGAGTCAAAAATTTAATACATAAGCAATGTTGTTCTCCTGCTGCCCTCGAGCAGTTCAAGCCCATTTGCATGGAAATTTAGATCCACTCAAACAATTGACCGCAATTCCTACAATTCCAACACAACTTGGGGAGATACACTTCCATCCATAACTGAAAGAGGTTGGGTGGAGAAGGCTGAGCTAGAATAAAAGAGTGGTCCAGCGAGCCGAAAGAGAAAGTATTTATTTATTATTAAATTTCCGCCTGATTCCCAATGACTCTAGGAGGAGGGGAAAAGAGAAAAAAGAGAAATTGAAGTAGTCTTCATAAGGAGACATAACCTTTAAAGCGCTCCATGGCTTAGGGCCCGGGTACTTACGGGACCATCTTCTGCCACCAATTGCCTCCCACCGGCCAGTTCGCTCCCACAGAGAGGGCCTCCTCAGGGTGCCGTCGGCCAATGTCGGCTGGCGACCCCCAGGGGGAGAGCCTTCTCTGTGGTGGCACCTACCCTCTGGAACAATCTACCCCCAGAGATATGAGTGATCCCAGACCTCCGGACTTTTCGTCGGGCCCTTAAAACGTACTTCTTTCAGTTAGCCGGGCTGTCCTGATTTTATGGTGGGTTTTTAAAATTTGAAATTGGTTTTAAATTGAAATGTTTTAGATTATGGGCCAAACTTATTTAATCATTTTAAATCTATTTTAACTTTTGTGTACAAATGTTTTACTTTGGCTTGTTCACCGCCCTGAGTCCGAAAGGAGAAGGGCGGTATAGAAATCTGATAAATAAAATAAAATAAAATAAAATAAAATAAAATAAAATAAAATAAAATAAAATAAAATAAAATAAAATAAAATAAAATAAAATAAAATAAAATAAAATAAAATAAAATAAAATAAAATAAAATAAAATAAAATAAAATAAAAAATAAAAATAATAAAATAAAATAAAAAATAAAATAATAAAATAAAATAAAATAATAAAATAAATAAAATAAAATAATAAAATAAAATAATAAAATAAAATAAATAAGGAGAGAAACAGAAAAAAAAAAGAAGAAAAAAGAAAGAAATTCGGTCATTTTTGTACGTTAATGGAGAAATCACTTCCACAACTTTGTCCAAATGTGTTTGCATGCATTAAATTCTAACTGATAGGAACAAGGACAGGTGTGTTTTGATTTCATCCCATTGAAAACACTGGAGAAAAAGAAAAGGAATGTGGTTGGGAAGGTTTTTTTGCTGTTGTTTTTTAAAGCTCCACCTACTAGCACAAATCACAATGTTGTACTTGCTACTCAAGGAGCATTTGCTTCCAACCCAGCTGCAGGGAGCTGCCAAATTCCTTGGCACACGTTTGTTCGAGAAACAACCAACCCATTTTTGCCTACTTCTTAATTTGGGAATAGGATAGTCTTGTTCGTCCAGCTCTCACAGAGCCAATTATACTGTGTAATACAGCCAGGACCAACCTAGGATTAAAAGTAGAAATGCAATGTTCAGAACCTGCTCGGCAGTCTTACCTGAGAATCTGTTAGCTGAAAATGGTCCTTGAAAGCCATATACACCAAGAAGGAATTGACTCCTATCAGAAAGAGAGACTGTAAGTGAATCACCAGTCCGTTTCCAGAGAGATCCTACACATAAGAATAGCAATGATGGGAATGTATCCCTAGCCTAGACCTGGTATCCAACAGTCATTTTCAAATGCAACTTCCACTGGATATAGAATCGTACAAACTGACCTTCAACAAGTGTGGAGAACACCAGTCAGTTGCTATGGCCTGGGCAAATCCTATCCCAGTAATGGCGAACCTTTTTGGCACCGAGTGCCCAAACCGGAATGTGCATGCATGTGTGTGCATGTGTGCACGCTGGAGCGCCAGAAACCGGAAGACCAGCTGGCTGGCGCGGATGCCCGCGCCGACCAGCTGGTCTTTGAGTTTCCGACACACACATGCACACCAGTCAGCTAGTCTTCACGCCCGCCGGAGCACCGGAAATCCAAAGACCAGCTGGATGGTGCGTACATGCCTGTTTTTTGGCCTTTTTTGGAGCCGTTTTCAGGCCGTTTTCCGGTGTTCTGGCATACTCGAAGACTAGCACGATGGAAACCAGAAGAGCAGCTGGCGACGGCACACGTGCCCACAGAGAAGGCTCCGTGTGCCACCTCTGGCACGCATGCCATAGGTTCGCCATCATGGTCCTATCCCATAATATCTCTAATACGCACCAGTTCATAATGCTAGAGAGGTGGAAAGGAAACAACCATGAAGTTATTTTTCACAGATAGACATCACCTCATAAACCTGTTGTCAACTGATGGAGCTAATAGGTTCTCTGCCTATGCTTCCTAACCAAAGCACATCAAAGTCTCCGGGAATCACCCCAACCAGGTGACAATCATGAAGCAAAACCTCTTCTGCAGAAAGTGCAAAGCCATTCTTTTCAGAAGACACTCAACTGCCGCAGCTAACATTCTACGGTGTCCAACAGTTGCTGCCACATCACAACTCCTGGCAGGATAAATTAGCCACGTGTCCACACGCAACCCAAACTTTCATCCATGTTCAAAAGGAAGAGATCAACAGTTTTAAGAGTGCCTCAAGCTTAAACGCAAGAGGAAGATGTACACACATGCTTGAACAAAACTCAATGGTTACCTTCTCAACGGGAAAACTAATGTTTTCAGAAGGCATAGAATGGGTCAGGAGGATGGATATGTGGGGAAAAAAGAAGGGGAGAGTGAAACAAATTATTTGGAGTTTTTATAAATTCCATCCTGTAATGGTTTGTTGCAAGTAAGCAATAGCACTTAGACTTATATTCCGCTTCATATGCTTTACAGCCCTCTCTAAGCAGTTTACAGAGTTAATATATTGCCCCCAACAATCCAGGTCCTCATTTTACCAGCCTCAGAAGGATGGAAGGCTCAGCCAACCTTGAGCTGGTCAGAATCGAACTAAGTGAGCAGTGAGTTAGATTGCAATACTGCGTTCTAACCACTGAGCCATCACAGCTTTGCATAGCATTAACTATTATTGTTAGCTCTAAGACTGGTATAATTTCACTTATTGGTTTGTTTTGTAGGCTTTCACAGCTGGCATCAGTGAGGCAATGATGAGTTTTGGGCAGGGGTGAAATGCTCTGTTACTGGTTCGCTTCACACGCATGTGCACCACAGGCGCTAAGAAGCCTTTTCTGAGTCTGCAAAAGTAGGTAGAACAGTGAGGGGGAGGGAACAGTTGTGCCGCACGATTTAGATTCGCTAGAAAGCAGGATTTCCTGCTTCCTAGCGAATATAAATTATGTGACACAGCTGATTGTTGCACAGCTGATTTTTTACTTTTTTTGGCGTTTTTTTTCTACCGGTTCCGATGAACCGGTAGCATTTTTTACTACCGATTCAGGCAAACCGGCCTGAACCGGTAGCATTTCACCCCTGGTTTTGGGTTTAAATAGCTGTGGTCTAGTTTTCTTTTGTTCTGACATTTCGCCAGCAGCTGTGACTGGCATCTTCAGCGGCAAAGCGAGCCACTTTGTGGTGTACCTCTCAATAACACAACCTCTCAGCCTGTGAGCTGCCGAGAGGTACACCACAAAGCAACTGACTCTGCCCTCTGAAGATGGCCAGTCACAGCTGGTGGCTAAACATTGGAACAAAAGAAAACTAGACGACGGCCATTCAGTCCCAAAGTTCCTCACTACTTTATAATGTCTCCATGTTGATTCATCCCAATTTGAGCAAGGGGAAATTCTCCTACCAAGAGAAACTGGAAAGCACATTTTCAGATAACAACTAGGACACAGATCACTTGGTACTAGTCTAGAATATGACTTTTCTGCAGGTATTCAAAAAATTTTCAAGACTTACCGTGATCCTTAATCAGGGCTTCCATCTCCTCTTGAACCCCTTTGTGCCACTCAGTGATGTCCACGTGCAAAGAATAATCACAGCAGGACTTGCTGTCGGCCCATTCTCGCCACTGATCAAATGCAGAAATCAAACTGGTGCCAGGCTCCGGAACGACGTGATCAACTAAAGAAAGAAAATGTGTCCAATGGTTAACGCACTTTCAAGGTTTAAAGTCTTAGGATTCTAAATGAAGAAGGGGAGTACTGCAGAACTTCTAATCCTGTTGCCAGATGCATTGGGGAAATCTCTAAAAACTCTGTACCCAACAGACCATAGGTTATCATGGCTTAAGTGGTGAAATCCAAATTTTTTTTACTACCGGTTCTGCGGGCATGGCTTGGTGGGCGTGATGTGGCTTGTTGGGCGTGGCAGGGGAAGGATACTGCAAAACCCCCATTCCCTCCCTACTCCTGGGGGAAGGATATTGCAAAATCTCCATTCCCACCCCACTCTGGGCCCAGCCAGAGGTGGTATTTGCCGGTTCTCCGAACTACTCAAAATTTCTGTTACCAGTTCTCCGAACTGCTCAAAATTTCTGCTACCGGTTCTCCAGAACCTGCTGGATTTCACCCCTCATATACATATACATATACGTATACACATACACATACATATACACATATACATACACACACACGCACATATGTAAGATGTGCCCATAGAATTGCCAACAATCGGTCTTGACTGAATGGATAACATCATCATCATCATCATCATCATCATATATGGGAAATGTTTTCTGTAGCCCAGGGAGGAAACAGCCAGAGGAATTAACTTTTGCTCATCCAAAGCTCTGCATGAACATTTCCTACATAATACATGGGCAGATAATGTCCTGCTTCTCAATGGAACTCGCTAGTATAAAATAAACAACCGATTAACCAGGTCCCAGTGGAGCTCCGGAAACAGAGACAATGGATAAATATTGAACTATCGTTTCCCTGCCAGATGTCAGGATGTGATTCCCATGATCTGGGTACACTCTTTCTTTCCCACCATAACAATCCACAAGGCCAGGACATGGTCGCCTTACACAGCCCTGCAAAATCCATCTGGGACCATCACGTCAATCAATCAATCCATCAATCAATCAGTCAATCAGAATAGAGCTGGAAGGGACCTTGGAGGTCTTCTAGTCCTAACCCCGGCTCAAGCAAGAGACCCTATACAATTTCAGACAAGTGACTGTCCAGTATCTTCTTCAAAGCTTCCAGTAACAAAACACCCACAACTTCTGACAGCAATTAACACTGGTTAATTGCTCTTATTGTTATGAAGTTTCTCCTTAATTCCAGGTTGCTTCTCTCCTTGATTATTTTCCATCCATTCTTTCTTGTCCTGCCCTCTGGTACTTTGGAAGATAAGTTGACCCCCTCCTCTTTGTGGCAACCTCTCAAATACTGGAATTCTGCTATCATGTCCTCTCTAGTCCTTCTTTTCTCTAGACTAGCCAGACCCAAATCCTGCAACCATTCTTCATGTTTTTGTCTCCAGGCCGTTAATCATCTTAGTTGCTCTTCTCTGCACTTTTTCCAAAGTCTCAACATCTTTTTTTGTAATGTGATGGTCAAAAGAGGAGGCAATATTCCAGATGTAGATTTAGGTTCAAGATTTCATTTTTGCTCCTAAAAGACATTACAAGTAGTCCTGGACGTATGACCACAATTGAGTCCAAAATTTCTGCTGCTTAGCAAAGTAGTTGTTAAGTGACTTTTGCTCCCTTTTGTGTTCTTTTTGCCACAGTTGTTAAGCGAATTGCTCCAGTTGTTAAGCGAAGCATGTGGTCATTAAGCAAAACTGGCTTCCCCATTGTCTTTGCTTGTCGGAAGACAGCATGACCCAGGACAGTCTTAACTATCTTAAATAAATGTGACTTGCCAAGTGCCTAAATTTTGGTCACATGACTATGGGGATGCTGTAATGGGTGTCAGTGTGAAAAATAGTCCTAAGTCATTTTTTGAGCGCTGTTGAGACTTCAAATGGTCACTAAATGAATGGTTGTAAGACAAGGATTACCTGTATTCAAAAGCAAGAATAATCATCCTTGTAGCTGGGATGAATGAATATAGGAAGGTCTTGCAACCACTGTTGGAAAAACATAACTAAAGCAATCCAACCTAAAAGGCATAATGAATAGATCACACTATGACACATGTATACAAAACTCTTACCAATCATCTATTAACGGTTTCTATTCCTAATGGTACTTGAATTTTTGTTTAACATCGATCTTCAGCATTCAATCTCATATTGTGTCAGTTGCACACATACGAATGGTCCCATAAATAAATAAATAAATTCTTGCAATGAACTTTTGTTTCTTTTTGTTCTCGCTTGAAAAACGAGTCATATTGTAGCCTCTGAGAAACAGAAGTTATGTTGTGGCCCGCCAGCGGCCTGCACGGATCATGGCTGATCCCGATGAAGAGGAGGCTGGTGTGGTGTCGCACCAGCAGCCTGCACAGCCAGCGCTCGCGTCAGACAGCGAGGAGGCTGAAGAGGATGTGATGCCAGAGGCAGAGACTCAGCCAGGGCCTTCAGAACCTCCAGAGGCTCCTTCCAGTGGAGAGAGTGAAGTGGAGGAGCCTCTCCTCAATGCTCGGGCATGCAGGGCTGCCAAAAGGCAGGAGTGGCTATTCAGGAGGAGGAGATCTACTCGAGAGTAGGGCTTGAGGATAATTGGCCACTCCCTTAGCCTATTTAAGTCACACGCAGTTAGTGCGTTCTTGCTGGAAACAACTTGTATTATTATCAGAGTATTTTGGTTTATCATATCTTGTTTTCTGGGCTGGTTGCCAACCTTTGCCGGTCTTGTTTATTCTTGGTACGTTAATAAATTTGATAAGGACCATTGGTGTGTGTCAATATACTCAGAAATCCGGAGCTGGGGCAGAACAAGTTACGGTAGCAGCTATCCATTCAAATTACTTGGTGACTGACCATGTAAAAAGCTACTGCTACTAATAATAAATACGTTTATTACTAAATTCACCCATGCTCATGATGGATTTTTTTCTAGGAACCTTTAGAATTCGCTTCTCTTCTCCGTTGCTTCTTCTGACCTTTAGCAGGAGAGAAGAATTGCCAAGAAGAAATAGAATAAATAAAGAAACTAGGAGCAATTTGCTGGGGAGAAGCAGCTTTTATGTTCCACCTAGAGCAAAAAAAGACTAGCCAAGAAAGTGTCAGTAGTAGCACTCGGCTTCATCCAGATTCTTCTGAAACAGCCTTACATTGTTAGTCAGAGGCCTCTATTATAAAAAAATTAACGCACGAAGTCTACTTTAAAAAAAACAAAACTCCTTCCAAGAAGGTAAACAAGGATAGAAGCCTAGGAAAATTATGTTTCTTTCTTTAATTATCTTAAATTCTGGGATGCTGAAAAAAGAAAAGATTTTTGACAATGAAATGCACACCTGTACAGGTAGTTCTTAACGTACAATCAAAGTGAGCCCAGAATTTAAACTGTTAAGTGAGAAATTTGTTAAATGAGTTTTGTCTCATTATACAGTTTTCTTGTCACATTTGTTAAGCGAATCACTGCAGTTGTTAAATTAGTAACACCGTTAAGTAAATCTTAACGTTCCCATTGACTTTGGTGGTCAGCAGGTCACAAAAGATGGTTCACATGACCCTAGGACAGTGCAACCGTCATAAATACGAATCGGTTGTTAAGCATCCAAATGTAAATCACGTGACTAGGGGGATGCTGCAACGGTGTGAATAAGCGAGAAAAATGGTCGTTAAGTCACTTTTTTCAATGCCGTTGTAACTTTAAACGGTTACTAAGTGAACCGTTATAAGTTGAGAACTACCTGTATGTGGATTTGACTGCCAATAAAGAATGGTGCATTTTTCAAATGATAAGAATATGGATTTTGAAGTTACGTTTTTGTGAGGTGGGTTTATCAACCTGAACAGCCTTCTTATTTGCCCCTTAAAATCCACTGCTGCTTTTTCTAAAGAACAACAAAGATATTGTTTTCCTCTTTGGTGGGCATAATAGGAAATAGTAAGGAGTCCGAAGGGTGCTCGTGGGGTTGGGGGCGCTGCTAGTTGAACTGCGTGTCCCCGCCATGCTTTCTGCTTGAGCCAAGGGGTTGGACTAGAAGACCTCCAAGATCCCTTCCAACTCTGTTATTCTGTAATATTATTTAAGTGTTAGCCTAAGCCATTTCTTTCAGATTTAGGATGAGTTTTGCGCACGGCACTGCAAATCTGCTTATCGCTTGCAATTTCAGACTGCAAAACTGGACTCTTCGGGATGAGTGCAATATCTGGATTCACAAGTCACGTTAGATCTGTACATTTTAAACCTGGTGTGTTGTTATTCTTGTAGGTTAATTATTGCTAAATATGTTTTATATAGATAGATAGATAGATAGATAGATAGATAGATAGATAGAGCTAGAGATAGATAGATAGATAGATAGATAGATAGATAGATAGATAGATATAGATAGATAGATATAGATAGATATAGATAGATATAGATATAGATATAGATATAGATATAGATATAGATATATAGATATGGTTTTTAAATGCATTGTAAGCCGCCTTGAGTCTTCGGAGAAAGGCAGCATACAAGTTGAACAAACAAACAAACAAATAAATATTCCTGAAAGCATTCCCACATGATTTTTTTAAGTTCATGCAAGGATGATGCAGCTTTTAGGGGAAAAGATCAGAAAGCTGGAGATTACAAGAAATTGCAGATTAGGGACAAGAATTACATAGCTAAAGTTGGCAAACTTTTGATAATAAGAGAAATAAATTCGAGAGCATAAGCAACGTATTTTGCTGTGAGACATCTGGGAAGCTTCTGCTACTAGTTAGCTGCAGCACGTGGGGCTGAATTTCTGAGTAGCGAGGATTTATCTTGCTGGGGGAAATCTGAGAAAAATACACGTGACTCAAACTGAGAATTCAACGCAACCAAGTCCCCCACTCCCCACAAATATTTTTATTCATCCTCTGAGAATAAAAAACAGTAAGCAGAAAGATTGGCCCTAAGCTCTAGATCAGAAAAGCAAATAAAACAGTTCATATGCATTTTAACTGTTGTTAAATCAATTGCAGACATTGCAGTATTTGTTCTAAAGAAATTCACACAGACAAAT